GCAGACATATCATTCGAGTGCTACCATTGGGTTGTTTGTCAACAAGTGTTTTCTCGTCGTTATATCTATATGTTCAAATTTACTAAATGTATTTCTTTAATACAGTTGTAAATATCGTTAAGAAATGAAAAAAAAATCATAGTGTGATTTTTTTTTTTTTTTATCCTTCCCTTCCTCGCCGTTAAGGCTATACGGGATTTTCCCGGGGGCCAGGGAGTATGAGCGGGGATTTAAAAGACTCCCTCGGCACCAAGACGCGAACTCGTGTCTGTTTTTATATCATTAATTCATACGACAGGTTGTCGGGCAACGGCGGTGCAATGCACACGCGTTAGCCCATTCGGCCACCCCGCCCACTATCATAGTGTGAGTACAAAATTTAAACTAATTGGATAAACGGAAAGTTTCGCTCAAATTTGTCCATGAGGTTGGAACGCTAGGAAGTGGAAGCTTCCCCCCACCCCAAAAAAAAAAATTGAAATCTGTGACCCTATCTTGAAAGTGAGGAATACTATTTCATGACCAATAAGGAAATGTTGTCAGTTTGCTCGCTAAGCTACGTTACCTGGTTTATCTTAGGATCCAAAGAGGTGTGAGGAACTTACTGAATGGAGAATGTCTTCAGTAATGTTTCACGACCCATACATTTTTTATAAATGAAATGTTTTTACATCATATATATTATGCCTGGAGTAGTAATGGCTAGTTCATAAACTGAGCGTTGAGCTCATCGATGGAAATCAGAGCGTTCCTTTATTCGTCGATTGAATCATCGATGCGGTTCACCGACTTTTGGGGACGATAGATCCACCAGATATAACTGTAGTGTTGTTATTTCTCGACTTACTTTATATAATTATATCAACTTTCGATCTGTATTTATTTCTGTTTTGAAATTCAACAATTCAGTTGGTTTTTTCTCATAGAACCCAACAAGTTGTTCCTAAACTTAGCATAAATCTTTGTCCATTGGTGCTAGATTCAATCGATCGAAGGCCGGACAGGTACAAAAAATGTTTTTTTTTTAATAAACATAGTTAATCGACAATTTTAGTTACTATATGTTAAGAATTGGTATAACCAATATACTTTTGCATTTAATTTCTCTAATTTTTCATTCGGGCTTAGTTAGGTTTCTCCTATCTAAAAAATTACAGTAACATCCCTATAGGAATAAGGTAATAAGTAACTACAAGTCTGTCGCGAGACTCTTTCGCAAGACTAAGAACATAACCAAGACTGAGTTTGCAAGACCAAGACCCGTCTCGGTCTCTCATTTTGGCAACACTAATGGTGAAGTTCTGTAGAAGCAATTAACGCTGGGTTTGCACGCTAAACATGCCCCTTATTATGGTTACGTAACTATGTGTGAGTTTTAGATGGAAAATGCCAAGATATTCCCTTCCATTGGTTGATAATGTTGTTTTCTAACGTAATACAATCTGATCGATATCTCAAATAAAAATGAAATTGGAGTCACTGACCCTGATGTATAGTAGAATCAATAAAGCGATGAATAATTTGAAGCTTTGGTTTCTTTTGGAATACATTTGAATCGTGCATTTCCAAAACGTGATAAATGCCAAAATATTACACAATGTAAATGCCATATCTTTTTGTGGCTATACAGTTTGTCTGGATAGTGGTGGGCCTAGCGGGAGAAAACCGAACTAGAAATATGTTACTTAATAATAAATTTGCAAACTATGTTTTTCCTTTACTTTTGGCACTTACAACGTTTTGGAAATGGACGATTCATTTATCACAGATCGTTCTAGTTATCGTTTTCGAAGAACGTTCCTCCAAAATGTTTCATTTCTTGTATTAAGAGTACCGGTTAATACAGCGCACCTTTTATTTGAGATTAATAGAAACGTTTCCAGATTTCACTGCCTTTGAAAGAGAGAAGAAAGCTCTGTTAACGCTAGTTATAGGCTGGTCTATTTTTGACCGTTGGTTATCCATTGAGATTATTGTGGAGGTATCTGAATTTATCTTACCTTGGGAACGATTTTCCATCTACTTAGCTCTTTTTGGGCTGAATATTTGGCTTCATTCTCTTGCTCCGCCAATATTATCAGAGTTTTAGCGAGTCATTCAGTGTTCTCTTGATTGCTTTGCTTTCTAGGACAATGCAGTTATAAACATAAATATAATCAATCGAACACATTAAGGTTGAGTATTATTTGAAAGGTTATTTAATACCATCCAATAGTGTTACCCAAATGCGAGACCAAGACGATTCTTGGTCTTGCGCACTCAGTCTTGCAGTTACCTATTAGCTTCTTATTATAGAGATATTACTGTAAATTTTTAGATAGGAGAAACCTAACTTAGCCCGAATGAAAAATTAGAAGAGTTATGACACTGATACTAAAAACTCGTAAATAAACATTTGCTTCTTTATACTTGGATAGTAAGATAATTTGATCACAAAATCGAGAAGAAAGGTGGCCTTCAAAAATAACGTGATTATATAGAACAATCGACCCAATATTATTGTAGGCCAACTTTTTTATCTATTTTGTGATCAAATTGTCTTAAGATCCAAATAGAAAGCAAATGTGTATTTACGAATTTTTAGTACCTAATAAAAAGACAAAGTTTGCCCTCTCCATATAGAAAACACACCAATTCCAAGAATTTTCGTAAATAGAATAGTTGTAGGTTACGATGATATGAAACCATTCACGAAGTTTCTGGCGGATGGTAATAATTCGATAAAAAGTGGTCTGTACCACGGACTATAGAGTTGAGCCTTACCTTTGTTTTTGTGTGACAAATTATGTGATATGATATTCTGTCACTCCAGAATATCTGTATTTTCAGCAAAAATAATAGCCCACAAATGTATTACAATTTTTCCATTGCTTCTTTAACTTATGACCTGACATCTATTTTAATAAACTAATCATAAAAATACGCTTTTTATTCATTAAAAACATTCTGCCTTTTTCAAAAATGTATCATCTAAGGTGATATATGAACGAATTTATAAAAACACAAATACCTATTGTGGAAGTTGATCCTTATTTTATTAAGTAACTAACTAGGTAATTTTAATCCTAATTCATAGAATGATAAAAAAAAACCATCGTCCACGATTCAATGAAAGACACAACTTTGCGTAGTTTGGCCACTCAAATGTCCTGCTTAAGTGGTTTCGACAAAGACAAAATATACTTGTATTTGAATAAAATGTTGTCTATAATGATTTAGAGATGGTTGGTTGGATATAATATGAGAAGGAGTTGTTTGGGGGTCAAATAAATAATAAATTTAAAAAAAATATATTTTTAATTATTACGCCAAGGTTTCGACCCACCTTGCAGGTCTTTATCAGGGCGTGGAATGTGGTACTGCAGGAGGCAGTTGATAGACTGGCCAAACTTGATAGGCGTTAATAATTAAAAATACTATTTATTTCAAATTTAGTATTTTTTTTAATCTCACTTCCCTACCAACTCCTCAAAATTTTGTCTAGTGTACTCAAAAGCAATTTTTAATTAATAATAATTACTAGGACCAGCGAATCAGAAGGTTCGATGCCGACACCACCAATCACTGTCTACACACCCCCTCCAACGGTCGCCGTCCGAACCCTGTCCCTTCAGATCGGCCTTAATGCAATCTTCCCACCTTCGCTTCGGTCTACCACTCGGACGTTTATCAGTAGGCACAGCAAATACTAACCTTTTAGGAATTCTTTCGTTACTAAGTCCAACAATTTTACAAGCCCATTTAATTCGCCGAGATATAATCACCTCAATTATATTAACCGGATACAGTTCACGTAACTCGGCGTTGTGTAACCGTCTGAACTACCGGGTTAATTCATCCTTCGGTTAATCTTAGGCGTTGTTCATCCCTTGATGTAAGCGTCTACGTTTCGCATCCATAAAGAACCGTATGTAAGATAATGGTTTTATAGATTCTATTTTTTTATTTCCGGGACAGGCGACGAGAGATAAATAATTTTGTCACAGGAAAACAACAAGAATTTCTCGCCTTCAGTCTAACCTTAATCTCTTTAATTTCGTTTTTTCTAGTTATCGGAGAACCTAGATACCTAAATTTCTCTACCTGTTCAAAAATATTACCTTCTATACCGATTTCGCCATTGTTGCAGCTAACCATAATTTTTAATTACCTGAATTAAATATTTTTGTGTTATTACTCTCTGTGATAGAGGAAACATGACCAGAAAGAAAGATTTTCTCAGAATTTGAACATTAATACCTGAAATTATATGAGGAAAGTATCGCGATCGGGTCAAATTTCCGATATGCCGTTTTCGACGGATCTATACGTTTCAGAGTCTTTAGGAATTTGCCTAAAAATTATATAAAAATCGTTCATTTTGGACAACTATTAACGAAGCTACAGCTATTCAATTTTCCATGTAATATTACAGGTTCATATCCTGGTGTCAGAAAAGGATGAATGAGAGAAAAAAAGATAGCTAAGTGAAATTAAGAAAATCTGTTGCCCGCATCGCACAAGCTTAACTATTTCCTCTACTTTTAACAGAAATTATTGTTTGACAAAATTAAGCCTTGGTAAAAAGTTTTAGATCAGCAATATTAGAGAGTATTGAAATGTTTACACTGATCTACCTTAAGCCGGTTTACATTGCTTTAGTTCATCAAATAAATCGTACTAAATTCTTTGGTCAATTTTCTAGAAAAATAAATCTAGTTCAAATCTTTTTGGTTTCTTCACGAACATATGTAAAGATACAAAATTTTTTTGTGAAATAGGTAGGAAAGTCGTGTGAGTGGACACACCAGATATTTTATTTTAAATAGATTTTTATATTCTATTCCAAAAAAAATTATACTTGTACTGTGCGATGTTTTTACCGCGCGCAAAACCCGGTATTTATTCATAGCACATATTCTGTTGTAAAGTGAAAGCCTGTTGCGTCGCCCGACTTGGTGGGCACGCATGCGCACTACTGCAGCCCGTGACGTAGACGTGATCTTGCAATAAAATAGATCTTATTTCAGAAGGAGGTTATATTTTATAAATAGGTCTGTTTTGAGGAATGGATAAGGGATAGGTATTATATAGAAGGCCGTGGTTGTATCTAGACTAGAAAGAGAAAGAGGCGAGAGAGAGGGGAATGGCGGGGGAGCACTGACCTCTGTTAACCCCACCTCCCCACCATTACCTACCTCAACCCTCCCCGCACTCTCTTGCTCCTCTAGCTCTTGTCCCAGGTCAGTGCTTCGAGCTTTCGGAGGATCTTCTTCACTATCTCTATGGTAAGCCAACTATATCTATATATATTTGTGTATACATTTCTGTGCAAGTGCGACGATTCTTTCAACTCATCGTTCCAATATACAAAACATCTTACATCCGTATTTTTCAAACAGTATTGATATACTAAATACTAGCATAAATGCTAACCTCGACGCCGTCCTTCATACCTAGACACAATGGTTGAGAACGTTGCGAAATCGGGCGTGGTGGGTCGAAGAACTCTGAACATTTTCATCACAAGGCGGTGTGTGGCGAAACAGCAAGGTTTGCTTCATTCCTCACACCAGCACGCCATTCTCCCTATCTTATCTTTTACGATATATATTGTTGATGAAATAAAACTTTCAATTGATGTTTTGTTTTTTTGTGATAAATATTTTCTGAAGAAGCTGTATGTATTGAAACCAAAAAAAAAAAAAAAAATCAAGTATTGCTAAACAATATACCGAATGATATACTTCTCCATATATAGATGTTCTTAAGACAACTGCAATCCCTTAGCTGTTCATAATAAATTAATTATTTATACATTTTATACTTCTAACCACTATCAGTTCCATGTGGGGGAGGGGGAAGCTTTCGAGCTGGAGTCGCTGCCAAACTAGAATTATATATATATATATATATATATATATATATATATATATATATTGTTCCATATTTATTTCTGTGGGTGATCTCATTCAAAAATATTGTTCCTGTAATCACCGTTATTCTTATTTTATCGTTTTTTAATATACGTTTAAGAACTACTTAAATATCGTTTTGTATACTTTCATTGTTCATTCATTGAAAAAAATCCTTTAAGTTACACTATATATAATTCAATAATTAATTACTTGGTGCAACTATTAAACTAGGAAACTTTCATAACTATAATTTTTAATAGATAAAAATATTTGTATAGTTTTTATACACTTTATTTTTTTTGTATCGATAAATAACGTTGAAACACAAAAACGTGTTCAAAGTTTAGCCCCATCAAAATTTGACTTTTTGTAATCAACTAAGGAATTTGAATTTTTTCAATAAGTGATGACGTAAAATGTTTCCTTTATAAATTATCTCTAAATTCTTACTTTCTCATTAGTTTTTTTTTTTTTTTTTAGGTGTCTAATATTAATAAAAATAATAATAAGTTGAAATTTCTGTGAGATAATCCTATATAACCTATAAAATCATATATATAACGAGTGTGGTAAAATGTATGGGTAATTTTTGCAGTATCATCTCATGAAATGTGTTCATCCGGTTTTAGGGAGGGAAGGTTACGTATACATAGAAAGCTAATATTAGAAATTTCTTACGAAGTGTGTTTTGTTCCCAAAATATTGCTAAATACTAACTGTTTAAGTAATTATTTATGTTATAAAAAGATATAATGTTATATTTTATCCATTTTATTTATTAATTACTTTGTAATAAATTTGTAATTACTAGTTATTAAACCGTTTTTTTTTTACTGTCTAATAAGAATTTGCATCTGGTAGATTACCATTACTGTAACCCTTCATCGCTCCACATATTAAAATGTATTAATATATAGTTTTGAAAATATATTAAAAGAATGTAATCATTTACAACAGAAATATTATTAATAATATATAATATTAAACAAATCATTACTCTATGTCCTTGTAAAAAGTGATAATGACCCATTGTCCTCGAGATCTTATGGCCTCTAACTCTTTTGAATTGGAATGTTGCCATTTTATGTTCTAGTGCAAGAAATACTTTTTCTCATCGATTGAATTGATTCATCTCATCTTTTTCTTACAATAGATTGAATAGTCTTTATTTAACTGCATGTTGATAGATAAAACTAAAAATAATACTTTCGAATATTTTTGTTCCTTAATAGTGAAGTAAAGACGCTATCTCGAAGTTCAAGTGTTGTCCCTTAACTTCTTAAGTTATAACCTTCCTTGCTGTGTTAGTGTTATTATCGTGTATAATTGGAACCAATATTTGATAGTTTTATGATCAAGATATTTCGATCACACTGTAGGAAATTAGCTCAACTATCCAAGGTGAAAAAGGCTAGTTCAGACGACCAAAGATGTATAAGTACTGTGAAGTTAGATTGGAAAAAAAATTATATTTTCATTTCAATATTTTTTTAAAAGTTTATTAATCAATAAATAACATTATTTTCGAATAAATTTTGCATCTTCATAAATAAATAAAGACGCTAGCTTGAAGTTAAAGTGTTGTCATTTCACTTCCCTAGTCATAGGATGGCTTCATGACCTAGCGATTTTGATCACACGAGTAGACAAGCAGTTCATTTTAACATTTTTTTTTTTTTGTAGTAAGCATTATCAAGCTTTGAATCAAATTAATAACAGAAAATAATAGATATTTATTATAAAATAAATTAAGGCTCCAAATAATTCTACTATAGAGCCATTGATTCCAACTTTGGATTCCTCTCAATTTGAGATATGGAACAGATTGTATTACGTTAGAAAGCAACATTATCAAATATCGAAAAAGGATATTTTTGTGTTTTTCATTTAAAATCCACACGTTAATTACTACATGATATTTTATATAATGAGCAAGTTCTATATTCAATCGGTGGAATCTATCAACCGATTGAATCCATCACCGATGAACATTTATGGTTAGTTTAGGAGCGTCCTGCTGAAATTCTAGTGGAAAATTAACATCCCTTGAAGGTTACGAAACATCTTAAAGATAAAAAATGTATAGGGAAATTATTATCCACTTAATTGTTGAGTTTCATAACAGAAAGAAATATAGATAGAAAGTAAACTGAATATAAATATTTAAAGTCAATTGAGAAATAACAACATTGAGGTTATAATGAGGATACATCCAGTGGAAGCATCGACACTAAAAGCCCACTTAGTTCCATCCATGAGTTTAGGAGCGGTTTGATGGATTTCCGTTAGGCATCCATGAACTCAGCGTTTAGGAACTTACACAATGTGTAATAGCCAATGGAGTATTGATGTGTGAGATGGTGTGGAAGGGGTCAAACTTCAAGGTCAGCTCTAAATCTTCTCAAAGTGTAATTCGAAGTATGTATAGTGGTTTACTGGATACTGAAGTAACGAATAATTATTAACAATAATAATGATTTAGTATAATAATAAAGGAATATAATATAATAATAATGTTATGAAATAAGTCATTATTAGTCAGCATCATTTTTGCTCAGCAACTTTTTGTAGCTAGATTGAATTTGATGAAACTGATATGGTAACATCTAGTTTCCAACCCCAGCAATCACTAAATACTTCACAAAAATCAATTAATGTCAGTAGGAGATATGCCCATCACATGAAATTGGCTGCAGACAATCACGGAATTAAAGTTTTTCTTTGGTGTCCAAATGGTTAAAAATCGAGTGCAAATTTTCGATTCTAAGGATAAATTTTAGACTTTTCTCACGAATACAAAGCTTCTTGGCCTAAGTGATGAGGAAGGAAAAATTAATTTATCAATCATTTACATGCATTGGATTAGTTAAAAATATATTAGTATTTTTAGTAACAGATGGTTCAAGAGTTGATACTCATCTAATGCGTTGGTGCGAGTAAGCCAGATCAAATTTCATTCAGTCGTTTGCAGTTCGTTATCAATGAGCAAACATGCATGGACAAACATTGAGATAATGTTCTTGTTGGAGTTGTGGATCGAGGTTCAAAATAATTATGTCTGTGTACTTTAGGTAACAATGTTTATATTTTAATCTGTATTCGGGAAATTATTTTTTACTTTCACTTCCCTATATTTTTTTTAAAAGTTTGAAATTCCAATATCACTTGAAGTATTAAGTGAGTTATAATAGAAATGTTAACTTCGTTTGATAATTTTCTTAAATATAATAAAATTAGTCGGTCCAAACGAAATTATTATTATATTATATTGGTCAATGAACAATTGAAAATATAAATGTAATGTTGAATACTTAATAGTTGAACGTTGTATTTGGAAGGAAATGGTCCGGGAAGGTTGGGGTGGGGGTGGGTAGGGTCATAAATAGACTAAAATAGTTTATTTGTATATATTATTGATCCTTTTCTTCCAGTCTCTCCTTGAGATACGTAGAAGTATATTGATAATTGCATATATTATATATTATACTATTATATTATATTGTATATTATACTACCATTTATTTACTTCAGTTTATGATCTTGTAAATTAGTTTACTCTGTTTATATAGTTTATTGTTCTTAATATCTCAAAGTACTTACTGTTTAATATTTCCATAAGTTTATTCACCCTGTTTATAATTTTTATCTAAATATTATGTAACTTCTACAATTTTATGTATCCTTTTGTATCTTGTCCGTTCAAGCCTTGAAGAAGACCTGCAAACTCAGGTCGAAACGTTGGCTTAAAATAAAATAGTTTTGCCAATATTTTAGTCTATTTAATAATTTAAGTCTCCTTCCAATAAATGTAATGTATTATGAGATGGATAAATTAATTTTATTTTCCTTGGTTGATTACAATGGTTAATTAATTTTTTTTTTTTCCGCAACTGAGGGTCATTTTAGCCCTTGCGCAGTATTTATTACACAATGCAAAATTCAACAATAATTATTACCTTCATGAAGGTAGGAAAGATTTAACATTAAAATTTTCTAAAACGACCCACCCCCCCCCACAACCAAACCCAAAATACCCATCAATATCAAACCCACCAATCCTCCCCCCCCCACACCAAACAAATACCAAAAATTAAAATAAAACAACTACAACCACACCAACCACCCCCCAACATACACACCCAACACTACCCACACAAATACTCCCCCAACCCCATTCTATCAACCACAAAACTATAACAAAATACTTTAAAAAATCCAAACACCTCAATCAAAATACATAAAACTACAAAACCACCCCTTATAAACATTTCACATACAACAAACCCACTAACCCCCACCCATATTCAAAAACAACCTTAAATATCCACCAAACCTTAACCCCTACACCAATTAAAACTAATTCCAAAACTCATAAACATAACATAAACTAAACCCAATACCAAAAATATACAACAACACCAATACCCAAACAAACCCACAAAAAAAACAAACAAATAACCAACAACACCTCAAAAAACACAATTCTATCTCTTCATTTACTAACAAACAACCCAAATCTCCATAATTCCCCCCATATACAACCCAACCACACACAAAAAACCCCACAACAACTTCCCCCAAAAATTTCTTAACCTCCTTA